GTATGCAGTTTGAAATTTCAGGCAGTTCCAACGGTACTGACTTGCAGGAGGGTGAAAATCTTCGCAATGTAGAAGATGAATCATCACAGATGACGACGCATGGATTGCGTGACCGATCAACTATACGCAGCCCACCCAGATTTAACGACTATGAAGTCTACAGCAGCATCCTGAATTTGACGGAACCCCAATCATATGAAGAAGCTATGAAGTCTTCGATGCATGTCAACTGGAAACGAGCCATGGACGAAGAGATGGCTTCGCAAAACAAGCACGGTACGTGGAAACTTGTTGAACCACCTGAAGGAAGAAAGATTCTTGCAAATCGCTGGGTTTAGAAAGTGAAGACTAGCCCTGACGGCTCTATCGAAAGATTTAAGGCTCGATTAGTCGCGAAGGGTTATACGCAGACGAAAGATATCGACTACGGGGAGACTTTTAGTCCAGTTTGTCGCTACGACACTATTCGAGCTCTAATTGCAACAGCAGCTAAGGAGAAATTAAAATTATTTCAAATTGACGTGGAGACAGCTTTCCTTTATGGTGATTTGACTGAAGATATATACATGTATCAACCCGAAGGATATGATGACGGAAGCGGACGTATATGCAAGATGCTCCGACCTTTGTACGGTCTTAAACAAGCTGGACGATGTTGGAATACCAAGTTTACGGACGTGCTAAAGAAGCATGGTATGACCCAAAGCAAATCTGACCACTGCCTCTTCACTCGTAAAGACTCGGGACACAAGATGCTGATGGCAATTTATGCAGATGATGGTATTGTTGCTGTACAAGACGAAGCATCATTCCTCACCTTTATGAACGAACTTAAGCAACATTTCAACCTTAGAGTGACAACCTTAAATTGTTTTCTTGGTCTACAAGTTGAACAGTTGAAGGACGGATCAATCTTCTTGCACCAAGAAGCATTTGCTAAAAAGATGCTAGAGCGTTTTGGGGATGCTACCAAAACATCACGCATTCCGGTGAANAACTTCCGAATGCTGATGGGATGATAAAGATCAAGGAGGCAAATCCTCTTAGCAGTCACATTCCATACAGATCAGCAGTAGGTAGCTTACTTTATTTAGCGATGGGAACCCGACCTGACATTGCTTATGCAGTAACTTTAGTATCTCGTAAATTGGACAATCCCACAGAAACTGATTGGGAAATTGTGCAGACTACATTCCGGTACCTTCGTACTACCGCTGCACATGGCATCGTATATAGCAATACAGATGATAGAAGCATTTTGTTATTTAGTGATGTAGATAACAACAGTTGTGCTGAAACTCGAAGATCTCGCACAGGTGTGATATCTTTCTACGGTGGAGGTGCAATTACTTGGAGAAGTAAATTGCAGGAGGCTTAATCTAATTCAACAACAGAAGCAGAGTTCATGGCAGCAGCTGATGCGACAAAAGACCTGATATGGTCAAAGCGCCTGTTTGCCGAGATAGCCAACGACGTCTCATTACCAATCCTCCAGATTGATAATCAAAGTACCATCAAGTACATCAAAAATCCGATATTTCACGCTCGAACTAAGCACATCGATCA